TGCTGCCTCCAACTGCGCCCATAGTAACGCTCAGCTCTTCCTCCGCCCCCTTCAGTTTCTGCCGCTCGGGTTCGACACTCTTCGCCACGTGATGATACTGAAACATGGCTCGAGCCCACATACACAGCGCCTAGACAGATCAAGCCCCGCACTATGAAGGATACCACCTTCAACGCTCAAGGCCAACCAACATTATCAAGGAGAATCTTGAGGTTGCACCACGAAAGATTCAGTTGAGGTCCAATGTGATACATACTGAGTCGAGACTACTCTCATCCCCACTGAAGCGATTCGATTCTACTCCTGCTAAATCAAGTTCTCTGGATACCACATCCCTATCACCACACATACGTCAGATCGAAATCAGAATGCCCAGGATATATAAAATAGTTATTCATTTTCCTATTCATAGATTATATTGACAATAAATACCCTAATATTTAATCAATACCTGTCAGCTCAACGTAGATCTTAGTGCCCAAACTAGTCACAACCCCACAGTAAAGTCTCACCTCGCAAGCCACAGACGCCTTCTTAATCACAGCCGGGTCGAAGTCTTCCCTCCCTATATACGGCTCGATGTTAGTAATAACCTACAACTCCTCATAAACAACTTCCAAGTACAGTTGCCCACTTTCTCGGGGATGTTATCCTTATCAAAAGCAAACAATTTCTCCAAAAGCCCCTTAGGATCACTCAATACCTAAACCGCCAGGCGGAATCGAAGTGCTGGACCAGGACATAAACTCTCTCAATATGCTCATGTCCGACCAACATCGGGAGGGGGAGGGGAGGCAGCTACGAACAGTAGCCTATCAGCTTTCTCTGCTAACCCCACTACTCAAGAAAAAGAAAGCGCCGTTTTTTTCAAATATTCCATCCTCCCACATCGTGAATTCAAAATCGACATCCAACCTACTTGGCTCTTCGCGCTCTCCCAGTAATCAGTGATCTTCTTCCCAGGCCGCTCGGGGTCATTCTTCATAGTCGGCTTGACCTACACGGCCAAAAAATACCCCCACCGGGGATCGAACCCACGACCTCTCGATCATCCTACCTCGAACATAATACATATCGCCTCCAAAGTAAGTTTGACTCCACCCGGTGGATTAGCCAGTGCTTTCACCTGCCACCTACCTTCTCCACGACCAACAGCAGCAACAACTCATAACCCCACCTCCTGAATGTGACTGAGCTTGAGACTCTTCAAGCACTGCACAGCCACTTCCAAGGCCGGCAGGGCCTCGTCCAGATCCTTCTGAGCATCATCCTTGATCTCT